AGCTGGCTGGGGAATTCTGGGAGTTGAAGTCCTCCAGGCTTAAAGTTGCCAAGGTTGGACACCCCTGTTTTAAAATGATGGAACATACTGTGTTATTTGTAACCTCATTTGTATTTTACTCTCTTATTCTTTTTGCTTCTCTTATTCCTGTTGCTTTATTTCTTTTCTTAAAATGTCTAAAGAAAATTCTTTAGCATGTCATATACTAGAGTCCATTTTGGCCAGGAGAAGCATGGGCAGTGATTTCTCATACAATAAATTAAAGGATGTTATTTGGGATAGAAAGGTCTTTATGTTGGGCCTCTTTTCCCAATTCAGAGATTTTGAAGAATGTAAGTCTTTGTCTTGGAGTAACATTGCCACCTGGTGGATGCTATGGAAACAAACTAGCTTCCTTTTTTAAAAAAAAAAAAATTAATGTTTAAAAGGAAACAAAAGCTAACGAGAATTAATATAAGTAAAGAAGAAAAGAAAAGAAAGAAAAAGTCTAAAGTGCAAAAATAAAGAAGGGAAAAATAAAAAATAGATTTTCTAGTAGTAGACATTCTTTATAGCAAATATAAGTACAAATATATTCCATCGTTTTAAAACGTCTTTTTGTAGTAACTTCTTTTTACTAATCAAACCGTAATTAATTTCATTTTTTCCTATTTCATGACAAAAATCTATAAGGGGGTTTCCAGTCAACTATAAATAAAAATATTTTCTCTAATTAAACAAGTTAATTTAGCCATCTCTGCCAGTTCCATCATCTTCCTATATTGTGGATAGTGCCAGACCTTTCCATTTTTGAGCATGTAATAATCTTGCCTCCTTCCCAAGCAAAGAGAATGACTGGTCCAAAGTCATTTGGCCAGGCTTCATGGCTAAGGCAGGACTAGAACTCCCAGCCTCCTGGTGATTGGCCCAAAGTTACCCAACTAGCTTTTATGCCTAAGGCAGGATTAGAATTCATGGCTCCTTATCTGTAGCCTGATGCCTTAACCACAACACCAAACTAACTCTCATATTTGGGATACTAATATTTTTATTAGTAGGTAACTATGGGTCCATGGGGTGGGATCAGTATAGAAATGCTTTTTTTAAATGTCTTTGAATCAGTGTTGACTCTTGGCTACTGCCTGGACAGGTCCCTGTGGTTTTGTTGGCAAAATTGTAGAAGTGGCTTGACAATGGATAACTTCCAATCTCAGAAGGCTATAGACTATAAAGTCTTTTAATTCTTGGGCTGAATCCCAGCAAATACAATCCACTGGCTGACAAAGCATTAACAACCTCTCCCCAACTCACTATAACACCAAAGCATTTCGGGATTGCCGACTTTGGAAAGGCTGTTAAGGAAAAAGAGCACCGAAGGTATTTTTAAGCCGTTTTGGTCTCTTAATTGTTGGCAAATGCTTAAAATGTTTAAAAGAAAAGCCCTATGACCTTGCAAAGGGTTGTTTGAAATCAATGGGGAACCGTTTAATCTAGATTAGTACGGCGTTTCTTAACCGTGGCAGCTTGTGTGGACTTTGACTCCCAGAATTCCCCAACCAGCAAGGAAGTTCACGCTTCTTCCAAGGTGCCAAGATTGAGAAATGCTGTTTTAGAGTAAGTCCCCCTCAGATACTGTGGTAATAAAAACAAGGAAGATGGAGGGTTCTTTTCTAAGGAAAACCTTGTGATGGAGGTAGGCCTAACCCTCATTAAGTTTTTAAAAGGCTGGATCCCTGCCTAAAAACAGAATAAAATCTATGCAGTGTACAGATAGTCCTTGATTAATAATAGTTCATTCAGTGACCATTCAAAGTTATGAAAAAAGTGATTTATGACCGTTTTTCACACTTACAATCGTTGCGGCATCCCCAGGGTCACATGATCAAAATTCAGATGCTTAGCAACTGACTCCTATTTATGACGGTTGCAGTGTCCTGGGGTCATATGATCCTTTTGTGACCTGGCAAGCAAAATCAATGGGGAAAGCCAGATTCATTGAACAGCCGGGTTATTAACAACGGCCGTGATTCGCTTAACAGCTGTGGCAAGAAAAGTCATAAAACGGGGCAAAATTCATTTAATTCATTGTCTTGCTTAGTAACATAAATGTTGTGCTCAATTATGGCCGTAAGTTGAAGATTACCTGTAAAGCGACTGGGTTTTTAATTTGAAGCATGGATAACTTTTCTCTTTGATGTGAATGGCTCCCCAGGGATGAGACTAGCTTCATATTGCCTACTCACTCTTTCCTCAAACTGAGGTTGTCTGGATGAGGGCTAGTGAATCTAAGGACCCAAACACGTTTGAAGGATACCACGTTTGAGCCACCAAACTGCACCTGTACATTTAGAAGATTCTAAATTCAGATTTTCCTCCTTTCCCTCCCATCTTTCTTTGGCTAGAATTGGCCGATAGCTCTGGGCTGTGGCCCTTGCAAGTCCACCATTCTTTTTCAAAAGACAGGGGTGTCCAGAGAAGGTGACGTATTTTTTTTTCCTTCATCTCACATCACCTTGACAATGCTGCCTTGTTCGGATGATCTTGAAAGCTCATTCTTTTCCAAAGTATCAAAAAGCAGAAGAACGTATTGAAATCAATTGCCTTGGGAAGGCCTTTTTCCAAACACAAAATAAAAGGGGGGGAAAAAAAACCTTGCTTAAGCATACATGTTTTGGCTGCGTTATTATAGTACAAGAACTTAATGGACAAAGATTTTGGGGGGGATATTTATGTGATCCTCACTAGAGCCGTAAATGAGACAAATGTTTGATGTGCAGTTCAACTCAAAATTTCCACTAACAACAAAAATCATTCAAGAGACCATTTGGGGTTTTTTTCCTATATAAAAATATTTTTAAAAGTCGTCTTAGCTCTTTTATGCCAACTTGGAGTTCATTCCACCAATGGCATTGGCCTCCTTCTGCTGGCATTTGATTTGCTTAAGTGGTTTTATATTAGTTGAAGGAAAAAAATTAGCATGGGCCAAACCTTTGAAAACATTATGGAGTGATGCTGGATCTTAGACCTGGATTAAAATAGGAATACAGAGATGAAGTAAGGAAAAACAAAACTATTATTGTTGCTAGCCTGCCTTTCTCCCCGGAGGGAATGAAACTTCTAGAGATTCCTCTATGATTTTTTTTCTTTAAAAAGTTTCTTAATCAGAAGACATGATAGGAAATGAGTTTCAGTTTTGCACTATTGAACAGAAATACAAAGCATCTCCTCTGAACACCGTTTTCCAGTGCTAATGTGCTAATTGTTGTTTTAAGGGACTTTGATTTCTACAGCTAACTTGTGACACTCCTGAATATTGTCATTTAGAAATGGAAGCCAATAATGTTGTAATTTGGAAGTCGAGTCCGAGTTTGTCATGTCACCAAATAGAAATCTTGCAAAGCCCTCAAATTGTCTCAGAGAGATTCAAGTCTATAGACATGTCAAATTCAGTGTTATATGTATGTGAAACATCTCAAATTCGAAAGATTATTCTCACCTTAAAGCTGAGCTGTTTTGAGATCAGAACAGTGTTAGAAAATTTCCAACATGTTGAGTTTTTGATGTTCTCAGAATTTGGTTGTTTTCTTACCATTACCAGGTTAGGTCAAAACAAAACAAACAACTGAGTTATGAGACAATCAATAATTCAACTGGTCAACCTTGAGGTACATATCTTCTCTCCTGTTGGACCTTCTGATAGGATCCAAGTGGCCCATTTTATGCTTGAAGCCGCTGTTTTGAGCTCAAAATGGTTCCAAATATTATCCACAACCCAGAAGACCCTTTTGAAGAGTCTTCTTGCTTTAGAGAGTTTTGCTTTGGCAGCAAGTTCCCTCAGAACTTGCAGCAAAGGGCCTTCCTGTGTCAGGAAAAGAGTTGAGGACTGCCTATCTCTGAAAGTCAAAGCTTGCCTTCTTTGGCCTCTGCCAAGATGCTCAGCCTGCCTTGAGTGATGGGTCCTTCATGTCTTCACAGATATGCCTCCACTGCTGCCGATGGACCTCAAGGGTGAACCTGGACCACCGGGAAAGCCAGGCCCAAGAGGACCACCTGGACCGCCAGGCTATCCTGGGAAACCGGGCACCGGGAAACCAGGACTTCATGGGCAACCTGGACCTGCTGGGCCCCCTGGCTTTTCTGGTATTGGCAAACCTGGTCTTCCAGGACTTCCGGGCAAGGCTGGCATGAAGGGGATGCCAGGGCCAGCAGGGGAGATTGGCCCACGAGGAGACCAAGGACTGCGGGGCTGGCCAGGGCCACCAGGATTGCCTGGGCCTGCTGGGCTCACTGTGAATGGAAAACCAGGGCCAAATGGGGCTCCGGGTCTCCCTGGATTCCGGGGAGAACCTGGGCCCAAAGGAGAACCCGGCCTGCGAGGCGAGCGTGGAGCAAAGGGCGAGAATGGCGTGGGGATGCCCGGATTGACAGGCCCCCGAGGGAATGGGGGGCTGCCTGGCCCTGCAGGGCCTCCAGGGCCTTCTGGCCTTGGAAAACCTGGCCTGGATGGGTTGCCCGGGACTCCGGGGAACAAAGGGGACTTGGGGCTTCCGGGCGAGCCAGGGCTGAGTGGACAACCTGGGCCTATGGGCCCTCGTGGTCCTCCAGGGGTGGATGGCACCGGACTGCCTGGCATAGCTGGCATGCCGGGTCTGCCAGGCCCTTTGGGGCCCAAGGGTGAACCTGGCCTGCGTGGCCTTCCAGGGCTGCCCGGCACTACAGGGTATGGGAAACCAGGGCTCCCTGGCTTCAAGGGGGACCGTGGGCAACCGGGAGTGCCAGGAATAATCGGGGATAAAGGGGAGCCCGGGATGGATGGAGAGCCAGGGGAGATGGGGCCCCAGGGCCTGGTTGGGGTCCCTGGCCCTCAGGGTATCATGGGTTTGCCAGGCAAGCATGGGCTCCCCGGCGCGAAAGGGGAAGTAGGGCCAAGTGGGCCTATAGGACCCCCAGGCCTGCGGGGAGACCAGGGACCCAATGGTTTTGTGGGCAAGCCAGGGATTCCTGGGGAGAGAGGACTTCCCGGTGCCACAGGGATGCCCGGCCCAATGGGCCCCAAGGGGGAAGGTGGCTTCATGGGTCTTCCTGGGGCTCCAGGCCCTTCTGGGCTCCATGGGTCAAAGGGAGACTCCGGGATCCCAGGCCAACCAGGCCTCAGAGGCCCTTCGGGAATACCAGGTTTACAAGGCCCCTTGGGTCCCATGGGCCCTCAAGGTTTGAAAGGCCTGAAAGGTGAACCTGGGCTCCCAGGGGCCCCTGGGATCAGCCGAGTTGGAGAGCCAGGCATGATAGGTCCCGCTGGCCCTCCGGGGGTTCCTGGAAACCCTGGAATCATTGGGCTCCCAGGGAGCCCGGGACCTCCAGGTCCACCTGGGGCCCCAGGAGTGCTGCCTGCCACAGAGTTTCAGGGCCACCACTTACCCAACGGAAACGTTGACGGAGCAGTGTTGGGGAACGGCAAGCCTGGGAAACCCCAGTTCGGTCGAGGGGAACTCTCTGCCCAAATGTTGCCAGCTTTCACCGCCATCCTGAGTTCCCCTTTCCCAGCCTCAGGAATGCCCGTAAAATTCGACAGGACTTTGTACAATGGGCAGAACAGCTATAACCCAGGAACGGGCATCTTCACTTGCCCTATTTCTGGCATCTATTACTTCGCCTATCACGTCCACGTGAAAGGAACCAACGTCTGGGTGGCTCTTTACAAAAACAACGTGCCGGCCACCTACACTTACGATGAGTACAAAAAAGGCTATTTAGACCAAGCGTCGGGCAGCGCCGTGCTTGAACTCAAGGAAAGCGACCAAGTCTGGATCCAGATGCCGTCAGACCAAGCCAACGGTCTGTACTCCACTGAATACATCCATTCGTCTTTTTCCGGATTCCTTCTCTGCCCCACATAACAGCCGTTGGGAGTTGCTCTTTTCTCCCCTTGAGTCATAAACTTGTCTTTTTTGGAAAATAAAAAATAAAAAAATAGGAAAGTCACTGGGAAGAATTGTGCGAGCCACGATCGCTTTGACCCAGCCAAGGCGAGCATCCGGGAAAGAGAATCTGTTGTTGCTGGACATCCTGCGGATTTGGAATTTGATTTATCCTTAGGACGGCATGGCCTGGCAAGACCACAGATGCTGCCCGTCACGTCTTTGGGGCCCTTGAAAGTCTGAAAGGGTTGGGAAAGCTGTGCCAACAAATGTCACCTTTAACGTTGTGGGTTTTCTTTCTTTTTTTAAATCAGCTTAAGGCACCTCCTTCCCTTTGTGTTAGTTCTTTTAAAATGTGATTTCGGTCGACGCCTGAGACATAACGAAGACCCAGAAGGGTGAATTATGAAATTGTGAAATGCTTTGCTCTAAGCATCTTTCATGCAAGGCTCTGTGTATCTTTAAAGCATCCCATTCGGTGTTTATGGGAAAAGGGATGACAAAGGAACTCTTGATTTCAAGCCATACAGAGACTTCTAAAATCAACTGGAAAAAGCCGGACTCTGTAAATCATGCGTTTAATAGCCCAGGGTTATATAAACCGGTCAAATGTCCATTAGGTGCAAGGCAGTAGTTTAAATAAATAAATATATTTCTATGGATATCTGAGTATTAAAGCGCTGCAGATATTGCTAATTTTATATATATATATATATATATATATAAAAGACTGAATTGTGTTAAGTTCAAACACCTTGTTACCATGTTTCCTCAGGATCTGCAGACTGTTGATGAAGGTGGCAGTACCAAACTCAATATTTGATATCTCTTCTTTTTAAGTAAAATTCTTCAGCATAATTTCCACAATAGCGCTAAGTAATATTTTTCTTAATATTAGCTCCTTTAAAGGACATTTTGAGTAGTGCAATATCCTTTTTTTAAAAAAAAAAAAGATGCAAAGTTTAGGCTTCTAGTTTTTGCATTGTTTTTTAAAGTAGCCATCTGTACCCCTTAAATACAAAAAAGAGGGTTTTGTCATCCGAAGAAATGAAAAATATACACTAAGGATTACTTTCTGCATGAATTGTGGACAACATAGATGGATTTAATTAACTATTCTTTTTATAGATCCTGAAATGGCCAGAGCAGCTTATCAGATTTATTGTAAACATATATACGTTTAAACAACTCAAACTGTAACAACAATTGCAATCAACGCTGAATTTGTTGACAAACATTCCAGGTTGCCACAAGTGAAAAACATCACACCTTGGACTGTAAAAAGAGCAACAAAAGAAAACTGCTGGGGAATAAAATATTTGGGTCATCTGCTATTACAAATATTATACCAACTGCGTTTTTTCCCCCTTCCATCCTTTTTTTTTTAAAAAAAAATCTAATTCCATCTGGTTGTTTTATAAATTCCTGAAGATGACAATAATCCTAATGGCACACTCTACATGCAAAATAACTTCTTTATTTTCACCCTTGGTTTGCCTCAGGCTAAAATTGAAGGAGCCACGGGAAGGGCACATTTTCTGTGTGCCTAATACTCAAAAGGCCAATTTTAGAGGCTTCCGTTCTTGTTTCAAGTGTATTTTCCTGTGGAGAACAGCCTTTTGGTTCAACTCATGACACCATTCAAAGAAAATACGTTCCAGTTTAGCAAAATCTGAAGGAGGGGGAAAAAATGAAGCATTCTAAGAGCAGAAGAGAATCACATAAATCCAGGTTTTTGCTCTAGGTGCCCAGAGCATCATTTATTTATAACATGCTCTACTGCACATTAAAAAAAAAAAAATCTCTTTCTATGTATACAGGTAGTGCTTGACTTACGACCACAGTTGAGCCCCAAATTTTCTGATGCTAAGACAGTTATGTGAGTTTTGCCCTTTTATGACCTTCCTTGTCACAATTGTAACCCCGGTTGTTAAATGAATCTGGCTTCCCCATTAACTTTGCTCGTCAGTAGTCACAAAAGGGGATTACGTGCCCCGAGACACTGCAACTGTCGTAAGTATGGGTCAGTTGCCAAGCATCAGAATTTGGACCATGGGACCATGGGCGTGCTGCAATGGTCGTAAGTTTGAAAAACGGTCATAAAACACTTTTTTCAGTGTCGTAACTTTGAACGGTCACTAAATGGAATGGTTGTAAGTCAAGGACTCCCCGTATTGGTCATTTGTGCGCTGACAACCACAAAACAAAGTGAGTAGGCAACGTTTTCTCCAATTTCAAAAAACAGGGAAAAGATTTCCAAAGTTTTACAACCTGATTATTTTTTCCTTATAGAAAGCATGACCCTTCTCTGCGTTAATGCATTATAAATGTAACAAAAAAGCAGCGATCACGTACAGGACGATGAAGCATGGGCCAAAGAGGTTTAATCCTTAGCTTATCTGTGCTGAGATTTACAGCATCTAATCTTTTGTCAGAAAAGTCTTGGGTTTTGCATTTGGGAGAACGTGTACAACGTGAGTTTCAGTCAGCCAAAAACACAGGCCTGGAACGCCGTTACACTGTGCATCTTCATATACCATTGGGATATCCTTAAAAAAAAATTGTGCTAGTATCTTTGTTTCTACTATATAGAGGATTTTTTTTTCAGTTTTGTAAATACTTATGTTACGTGCACTGTTCATAGTAAATTTTGTTTTGAAATGCACTCGTTTTGTGATCAGAAACTGGCCTTCACTTCTGAATGGAAATTACACTTGATTGTATTGATCCAACTTCAATAAATCTTATTTTACAGAGATTTATTTGTATATCCAGTTATCACCTGTAAATATACGTGTGTGTATATATATATGTATATATTGGCAACGTATCTACACCTTTAGGTCCATACATTGTGAAAGGGGGGGGAAAAATCAAGATGGCTTATAAGCCAACATGCAGGCAATTCCCTTTCTAGTTAAGGATCAGGTGGCCTGCACTCTTGGGACAGTCCTTGAGGTTCTTTTGGTTAATCAAAACAAGGAGTGAAAAGAATTCCATGGGGGTTGTCATCATTTTTTCAGTGAGTTAAGGCCAGGAGGAAGTCAAATCTAGACATCTGGCCTGGCTTTTCCCAATTTTTTAAAAATCTCTTTAGGATGATGATCTCTTGACCAGCTTTGTTTTTGTCCCACAGTGAGTCTACATGGGTTAATGATACTTTTGCCTGAAATCTTCTATAAAAGGAATTCTTTGTTAAATGAAAAACGTCACTTTGAATCGCTCCTCACTTTGATTTTGGGGTGTCCTTGGTGCTCTCTGAGCTTGTTTTCTTGCAGCCGTTTCTTTACCAAACCAGTTAACATCATCAGTGTTAAAAGGGAATGGGGTTGGTTTGTTTTCCTTTCTATCTTCAGTCCAGAATTTCTTATTTTCTGTTTTTAAAGTGCTTCTATATTAATGGCCCAGTTTAGCATGCATCTATGTATGAATGCCAAATTGTGCAATGTCTATCTGTACATTTGCTTCTTTTGTGACAAATGAGTGTTTTTATCCTTTCTTCTTCAATAACTGAAGACTGGGTAAAATAAATCACTTCTCGACTCCTTCCCTTCAATCCTTCACCTTTCCCTAATAGAAATAACTCTACCAAACTCCCCATAGACTTAACTGTTAATTTGATTGCCTTGTGTGCCATTAGCTTCAATTACTTTTGTTAAACTCCCCATAGTTAACTGCTTATTAATTTGATTCCCCTGCCTGATATTAACCTTAAGTAGAACTGATTACTAGACTTTTTTTCAGCTGCCAAAATGCTTAAGCTTGATTAACAGCGGCTATGTCCTAACAAAACTGGCACTCTAGGAGGTCCCAAATCCACCTGTGTTGTGAATGATGTGTACCTGATCAACCCAGTGTGCTTTTCCTGGCTTCCATTATCAGCCCATCCAATGCACTTTGCTCTAAAGTAAACTGCAGTAAGTTCCTTAGTACCTCCAATTATTTGTTTATTAAATACATATTGCCACCCATTTCACTATTGAAGTGACTCTGGGTGGCTATTGGTGTTTGCAGAAATGGGATTGATACCTCTATTAACACCATCCCAAAAACCTGGTATTCAGAGGTGGACTGATTGAGCAAGACGCAGTGTTACAAAATACCTTGGCTCAACTTAGAGTTGTTTACTTTACTCATGAAGCCAGCAGAGACACATCGATCCATCTTAGTTTTTAAAAAGCGGTAAAATTTATTAATGCCAGCATTACAGTTAATACATTTAAAGATATTTCTGGTATTCTAGTATTAAAGTTCCAATTGCCCATAGAAGCAGCTCGGCCTGATGACTCTCAATCTAACAGTTGATTGAACTGCAAAGTTACATATTTGTCCTTTGACTTTGTCCAAACTTAGTCCTGTCTCAAGTTTTCTGGGGTGAGGATCTGCTTGGGAAACTGTCAGAAGGCCATCTGCTGCAGAGAGAACACTGGATACAATGAACTAAAGAGAATTCTGACCAAGATTAATTACAAAAATTTCAAAATTAGGAAACAAAACAGCAAAAGGAGAAAAGGATGGGTGAACAGTGACTATGCGGCTGAAAAGAATTGGCACTTCTGAACATGCAGCCACAGCAGAAACCTTTGGCAGGGAGCCATTCACTATGTCCTGGGCATGGTTCGCTTCCTTTGGTACATGATGCAAAACTATAGACCAGATTACCGGGTGTCAAATCCTCATTCGTGGCTCAAGCTGGCTGGTGGTAGAGTTCGTACAAGCCATCGGCCAGCTTCTCTGTCTCCTCATAGGCTTCACAGCTCTCTTTCCAAATTTGGGGCACCTGCTCCTCCCCATAAAATGCCCCTGCAATGGCTCCTGCCATGGTTGCAATCGTATCCGTGTCCCCGCCCAGTAAGATGCAGTACATAATGGTCCGCTGCAGACAGTTGTAGCTATCAGGGACATCTGGGTGAGATTCCATGCAACGCAGGAACGAGTAGATTGCGGTGGGGACAGAATGCAGGGCTGCGATGCCATTGCCTGCATTGAATCAAAGGGTTCCGTTACTTTTACAGAACAGAGCCAGGGTGGCACAGTGGTTAGAACGCAATACTGCAGGCTACTTTTGACTGCCAGATGACTGCAACTTGGCAGTTCGACTCTCACCAGTTGACTCAACCTTCCATCCTTCCGAGGTGGGTAAAATGAGGACCTAGGTTGTTAGGGGCAATAGGCTGACTCTATAAACTGCTTAGAGAGGGCTGCAAAGCACTGTGAAGCAGTATATAAGTCTATTGCTCTCTAGTTTTCTGCCACCAGTGAATGCAAAGTGAACCAGAAGACATATAAAAGCAAATATGGTGTATGCACCAATGCCCACTGAGTCTTCTTTACCTTCCAAGGAATGACCTGCAAATATGTCCTCCAAGAATACTGAAAGAATGGAAGTACAGGTAGTCCTTGACTTACGAGCACAACTAAGCCCAAAATTTCTGTCGCTAAAGGAGACATTTGTTAAGTGAGTTTTGCCCCATTTTATGAACCTTCTTGCCAGAGTTGTTAAGTGAATCACTGCAGTTGTTAAGTAACACGGTTGTTAAGTGAATCTGGCTTCCCCATTGACTTTGCTTGTCAGGTTTGCAAAAAGGGATCGCATGACCCAGGGACGCTGCAACCGTCATAAATAAGGGTCTGTTGCCAAGCATCTGAATTTTGATCATGTGATTATGGGGATGCCGCAATGGTTGTAAGTGTGAAAAGCAGTCATGTCCTTTGCTTCAATGCCACTGTAATTTCCAGCTGTCATTGAACAAACTGTTGTAAGTTGTTTCTGTTCAGTACAACAGAAACAATTTCTAGACTTGGCCCTCTATGCTCTTCCCTCAGCAACAGCAATTTTAATGCCAGGCAAGAGCTCCACAACTCTTTGTACTGGGGTAAGAAGTCCCAGTCTCCACCTTCACAGGAATCATAAAGAAAAAGCCAAATGTAGGAATGGAGCCCATTAAAAATATCTTCAACCAAGTCAAATCAACATAACCAAAGCTTTGGAGGAGTCCAAAAGTACTTTTATGCC